AAAAAATTGCTAACTAAAGATATAAAAAAAAAAAATCGGGGTGATAAATGGGGCACGAAACCTACCCCGCCCCATCTTGATCCCAGCCCAACTTCGTCCTGTCCCACTTTAGTCGAGTATGAGGGCGGATCAAAATGACAAAAATACTCAACGGGATGGAATAGAAATGACCAACTCGTCCCATGTCCGTCCCATTACCATCCTTAATTGTATTTTTCAATTTTGTTCAATTTAGTGTATCAAACATATTTTTGAAATATTCCATGAATTCTTATACTTGAATATAATCATTATACTTCATAGTACTGACTTTGTCTGTTTAGTAAGACAAATTGTATATATTAGAATAGAAACTACTGCACAATATATAGAAAATGTCATCTGTTATACTTTTCAGTCTTATTCTACTAAACAAAGTTTATACGTATGTCAGGCCTTGTTGGCACACTATTGACTGATCGAACGGCAACTTTCCATGTCTGTGGGCAGACCATGAATGGTGTCTTCCGAGAGGTTAATGTATCTATGTCGTTTTTATTCTTCTATTGGTCAGGGTTTTAATTCTTGTTTTGGCTGGTTTTAAAGTTTTTTTTTTTAAATATTATTTATGAAAGTGGTTGTTTTTAAGTTGGACGTTGAGAAATTTAAATATTTTTCATTCCCTCATGAAGAGATGACCTAAATCTTTAATACAAAGATGGTAAAATCAACTTCGCATTGAATTTTGAAAAAAATTGCACATTTTGAAGCAAATTGCAAATTTGAGTCGAGTCACGTCACGTCGTGTCGGTTGGTTCACTATTTGATTTATTTATTTTAAATATATTTCAATATTCGTTGAATAGTAATATTGTTTTATTTCAAAAAAGAAAAATTAAACGCTATCCTGTGTTGCAATCAAATGAACATAGACTTGTAGAATATAGGTCATTTTTGAGAGGGTACAAGCAGGTAGTTGCAGTGTTTGTTGTACCTCATCCACACCACTTCATTACCAACAATCAAATTCCTCCATGTGAAATACAATAGCAAGATTAGGGTATCGGCGCCATGGGGACATGATTCATTAATTGCTCTATTTCTATGAATGTCCCACACTCAATACTTTTCTAGTATGCTAATTTGCATTTTTAGAGCCTAATTTCTTTGGTTTTATGGTTAAATAACAAGAAAATAATAAAATAGTATTTCAAGGATATTCAATATAGTCACACATTTAGTATAGCATCAATTTTTGTACTCTGATGGCTCGACACGTACATGTTTACGAGATGTTACTCGAGAAAAATGTAGCGGTGATTATTGGACGTTAGCACACATTCACCGAAGTGGGTTCGATCCAGGGTTACTCTACACTTGCAAGACGGATCGAAGGATGATAAATCGCACCTCAGTTTCGCCAGGTGGGGGCATGGTGTGGAGAGTGGAATGAGACATGACTAAATGCTGCGAGCAATTCAGAAATTTGACCATCGGTGCATATATGTGGCGTATGTTTGGTGAATGGTAATAAAAGAAACTGTACATGATTATGGACATAATTTTGACTTTTTTTTTTGTCTGTCTTTAATCTTGCATGGACTATTGTATAAAACAGGTCAAAAAAAAAAAATTAATTAATAAATATTGTTATTTGTATTGTCCTATACAATTTAATAATCATACCAAGCACATGGTGTATATGTAACATTACCAAACAGAGTGCATTGACAATAAGCAAAAAACCGAAAAAAGAAGAAGAAGAAGAAGAAGAAGAAGAAACGAAAATTCTTCATATGGATGAAGCTGCAGTGCCCTGACACGTCACACACATCCGGGGGGAGGGGAGCTTTTTTTTTCATTTTTTATTTCACGCGGGTCTCACGTCGGTCCCACACTTATATAAGAGTAGATAACCCAAGTAGACATTTTTTTTTTTTTTTGGCACAATAACTTTATTCTTCTTCATATAAACAAACATCAAAGACTAGCTAGGGGATCGGCGCCTTCGGACAGGTTTCATTAATGGGCTACCAAATGTTGTCTTTATTTTAAATATCAAATGTTTATTTAAAGAGGGTCTTCTTGAATACGTAAACACCAGTAGGGGTATAGGTAAGTCCACTGGCCGCCCTGCCCTCAACCTTACCATCATTCTATTGAGTTAAATCTTATATTTGTTTTTTTTTTTTTAAATCCTACATTTATTAAAGATAGTAAATAATACTTTGCCCGGTGAAAATTAAAATCTAGATTTTAATTCAAGCCAAAATCAAAAATTAATTTTAATCACATATTTCGTGGGATCCCCAACTTTTCAACCATATATGTTATCGACTTTTATAAAAATCGACTAAAAATTTAAATTTAATCATCACCAAACAAGGGGGCTTATTAATATATAATGGCTTGAGCTATTCTTCATTGATGGATTAACTTTTTAAGAAATAATTTCAAGATTCATTAAAGTTATAATTCATTTTTCTTCATTTCTTTTCAACCACACATTTTTCAATAAAATAATATTACACGTAAACCCAAAATTTTTCATTCTTTTTTAACAACACATTCTCTGAAAAATTATTATTCCAAAATGATATTTCTAGTTGTACATAATTTAAGTTACATAAGGGTATCCGCTTCCTCACATGAGAGTGGGATCCACATGAATAAAAAATATTTTCNTTTGTGGTCATCCCCATATCCATTCGCCACTAGCCATCCGCCTTACCATCCTTCTATTGAGTTAAATCTTACATTTATTTTAAAAAAAAAAATCCTACATTTATTAAAGATAGTAAATAATACTTAGCAGGGTGAAAATTAGAATCCAGATTTTAATTTAAGTCAAAGTCAAAAATTAATTTTAATCACATATTTCGTGGGATCCTCAATTTTTTAACAACACATTTTATCGACTTTTATAAAAATCGACTAAAAATTTAATTTTAATCATCACCAAACAAGGGGGCTTATTAATATATAATGGCTTGAGCTATTCTTCATTGATAGATTAACTTTTTAAGAAATAATTTCAAGATTCATTAAAGTTATAATTCATTTTTCTTCATCTTCTTTTCAACCACACATTCTTCAATAAAATAATATTACACGTAAACCCAAAATTTTCATTCTTTTTTAACAACACATTATCTCAAAAATTACTATTCCAAAATACATTTTTCCAACATTCTCATTATAATGGGGGCCAAACAAGGGTTCGACGTGGCATTAGAAACTAACGAGCTCAACGAGCAATTGAATCCATTAGAATCTCAAACTAGCAATTAAATTCTAGGATTAAATGAGCCATGAGAGCATATTAAGAGTAAATTTCCACATCCGTTAAGGGTGAAAAACATACTAATATGTTGACTTTTTAAGATAGAACTTGAGACTTCTTTCCTCCCCTTCTCCATACTAGTAGGACATGCTACAAGAGCTCCCAAGTAGAAATTCAGGAGAGAAGTAGCAAGGAGAACCATAGAAGGGGAAGGGAGGCGCGATGCTTACAACAATGGGGAACGGGAAAAGGAATGAATGAGGAGGAGTTGATAAGGGTGTATATTGAGATTATGATAAATTTATTAAAAGGCCTTTTTTGTGGTCAGGCGTGCATCAATAATCTTAAGTATATGTTTGACAAGTGTTTATAAACATATAAAAATGATCAGTGATGGATAAATGGATATTACTTGTTAATTTCATAAAATGTGTGTATAAAAAGTGATTTTACTTATATAAACCCTCGTTAAACTCACAATAGAAATATAATATGTATCATGAAGCATGCATATTATTATACACTCATATATATAATTAAATTGTCAATATCGACAAGAAATTAGACTTAAAAAGGAAAAAATCTTGTGGCTTGTGTTAATTCTTTTAGCTCCCTACTAAAATTCAACGGGAGTTTTGTGACGAATAATATTTCGGACAAAAACTTGTCAGCCCTATTTTTTTTGCTCGTCCCACGTTTTTTATTGAAAGGATAACCTCTCATCACTCATTTTCTTGAATCACTCTGTTCTGCAGATCAGACCCCATTCATTCAATGCACATGCAGATAAAGCCATAAAGGTTAAGAATCCAACTTTGAAATAGAAGGTTGATATTTCAGCAACTCATTTAAGTACAGTAAAACAAACAATCGGATTCCCCCCCTCTCTCTCTCTCTGTGGTGCTTCTTTAATCTTAACATTTACTGGTGCTGTTAAGACGTGGCAGTCTCTGTGTACTGATTTTGTCTCGTGGATATTAAATTCAGATTTTTAGTAGATTTAGCCCTTATTTGGTTTGAATTAAAATTCAATTAAAATTTTCGGTCAAAATCAACGATTAATTTTAACCATACATTTCATGGGACTCACAACTTTTCAACAACACATTTCATCAAAAATTTACTAAAAAACTGATTTTAATGTCTGTCAAACGGGGGCTTAGACAAAGATTTAAATTTCTATCAAATAGGGCTTTATGTTTCAATCTTGAGAAGCTACTCAATTTGGGGTGCGGTGGGGGACTACTAGAGAAAGCAAACTAGCCAGGAAAGGGCATGAGAAAGTGAAGGCATGTTGTCAGTGATATAGGGAAGGCGTCTAAAGGGACCAGATGGTGACCTTTGATTAATTACCAATTTAATCCTCTTCTCACGAATTTTTTTGTTAATTATATTGTTTAGTCATACTCAGTATGTAATCTAGGGTACTATGCTGCTAGTATTTATTAGTTTCGTCCTGAGTTAAACCATGGAGTCTTACAAGGTCTTTCCTCTTTCTGTTTCATCCGTTACAGTGTCAACTAGTAACTCCTCAAAGGTGTTCTATAAAATCCAGACTAAATTTCATACTCATTTTGTTGCACTAAAAAACCTGTGTTTTTGTGTAGGTGCAAGATCCACCATATTAAGGACAGGCTTTCGATTGATATTTGGCAGTTGGGAGAGGAGGAATAAGAAGAAGAAGAAGAAGAAGAAGAAGAAGAAGAAGAAGAAGAAGAAGAAGAAGAGGGCTTGAAACATGGAATGGAATGGTAATCTTCGTGTGCCTGTTGTTTCTCGACCGGATCATTCTTTCGGCTTTCTCTACAACTATAATTACGATCAATTTCCAGGTAATAGAGGAGTTTTCTTTGCTGATGGACAGCAGAATGTTAATTTATAGATGTTTTTAATGTGTTCTTACATGAAAGATACTAGGCAAAGATTCTCCAAATCATTAAGGTTTAAGACTTTTATTCGATATCTTTTTGAACCACGTTTTCGTTGTTGTAAGCAATTGTAAAACCCTCATATTCATTGAAAAGAGTGAAACTATAAAGCTGAGAATTACCAGACGAGAAAGCTTCTGAAAACCCTTATTGAGCAACTATTTTGTTTTATTGTTTCTTTATCAGGTTTAGAGATGAACTCAGTGCAGACACAACACGAAGTGCTCCCAACAATGAACAAGATGAACAATTATGGGTGCAGCCAAGAGAAGAAGAAAAGAATGAGCAGTGAGCAGTTGGAGTCGTTGGAGAATAGTTTTCAAGAGGAGATTAAACTGCNCAGCCAAGAGAAGAAGAAAAGATTGAGCAGTGAGCAGTTGGAGTCGTTGGAGAATAGTTTTCAAGAGGAGATTAAGCTGGACCCTGAGAGGAAAATGAAGCTGGCCAAGGAACTCGGGCTGCAGCCTCGGCAAATTGCGGTCTGGTTCCAGAATAGGAGGGCTCGGTGGAAGGCGCAGCAGCTTGAACACTTGTACGATGCGCTTAAGCAAGAGTTTGATAATGTATCTAGGGAGAAGCAGAAGCTTCTAGAAGAGGTTGGTGTTCTTGCATTTCTTTCTAGTGCCGAGTTTCTTCCCATGCACGCTAATATTACATGGAACATTGAACTTGATCTCCAGATAATCGAATACTAATTGTCAAGGACTTGCATTTTAAAAATAAAAAAATTTGCACCCACTTTTCTCTTGCTTGTTAATTTTCTGAGATCTTCCAATAGATGTAACGACCCGTATACGAAACAAAGTAATTACTATACTACTTGCTGATGTTCTTCTCTCTTTTTATGCAGACCGGAAAATCTTAACTTAATTGTTTGTTTATTTGAACTGTAAGGTTATGGCATTGAGGGAAATACTCAAGGAACAAGTAACAAAGAAGCAAGTGTGCACAGGTTACAATGCAGAAGTTTCGGGCGAAGAGATGGTCGAAAGCACATCGATTCCTACCTCCTCCGATAAGCCTAGAGGATCAAGCAGTACTCATCAGAACATCCCAGATCAGTCCAACTATGTTCTAAACGTGGATGACTATAATCAGATCATGCCTTCATATTGGAATGTTCTGCAGCCTTCTTGTCCTTGAATTTACTGCTATTTTCTATCTGCTTAATTTACTTTTAAAAGATAAGAACTTGTCTTGACTGGAGGGTTAACTTTAGAAGTTGATGTTGAAATTTTTATCATTAATTAGGTTTATAGAGAGACGTTTGAGGGATTTTTAGCTTCATTAGAAGCAGCTTCTTCTTCTTGTTGTTGATTAGAACTTAATTTGAAGTCAAACGTGAACGTCGAGTTGTTGGTCAGTGAGCTTGTTGATAATCTTATGTGTTGAATTTTGTGTGCTAATCATTTTGTTAATTCCCATTATTCAAGAATTTATTTGAAAAGGGTCATTTCTCATGGCTAGGTTTACATCTTAAGTATTTCATCTAAAAACATTCTTTTACACTAAAAAGTTGATATTTAACCTTTCTTTAAAAAAAAAATGTAACTTTTCAACACAAGGAAGATCTTGAGCTAGATCTGATAGTTCGCATAAATCCGACCCTAGTTCGATTCTTCACATGAACTGAACGGGAACAAACACTTTGTCTCCCTTTTCGGGAAATGGCTGCAATCATGAGTAAATGATTAAATGAGTGAGGGCTATAGAAGCACATTCAGGATAAGCAGGCGGTTCAAGAAACGATCTAAAAATGGACGCAATCTACAAAGATAACTCTCAACAAAAAAATGAAACTAAAACTCATCACTATCCCAATTCCCTTTCCGCACAAGAAATGGAAGTTTTCTCGAGTGGTTCTACAAATAATAGCTACTTGCAAATAAGAATATATTAACGTATTTCAACAAAAATTACTTGTTTACATAATTATAAAGAAAGTCGGTCTTCCTGTTGTTGTTATTTGGTCTCTCTAATTTGACAAAATTCTCAATAATAATTAATTATTGTTGTTTACACAGAAATAAGTCTTGTGGAAATTACACCATACCATACCAGAATTTTCAAGTTTCAATGTCAAATTTCAAATTTACAAGTTTTTATTTCAAAAATCAGAGTTTTAAATATTATTATCATTATTATTATTATTATTATTATTATCATCATCATCATCATCTAAAATTTAAACTAATCCATCCCCAAACCCTAAAACCAATTTCAACTCTCTTCTCCCTCTCTCCATTTTCTCTCTTCTCTCTCTCTACCAAACCACCACCGTCGCGGTCCGATAAATCCACTCTCCTCCATGTCCTCTCCGTATCTATCCTATTTTGTATCTGCCAGCGGAATCGTTCGATATGTGACAACAATTTCCTTCCTCTCCGTCGATGGCGCAACCTCGCACCACTAACGCGATGTGGCCTATACCACTGGTGTTCTGGTTCTGGTGATGGTGTTGTGGTGATGGCGTTGTGGGTCCGATTTGTTTGTTTTTGTGGTGGCGGTGATTTGTTGGTGGTGGTGGTGTGGTGGTGGTGATGGCGATTTTAGTGTTGGTCGGGCGACGATTTTATTGCTTTTTGGGAGGCGATCTGGTGTTTGGGCGACGGTGTTGGATCTTGTTGATATAGTGGTGACAGTGGTTTTGTTGGTGGTTGTGGTGACGATGTGGGGGTGTTGGTGGATTTGAAGTTGAAAATTTGTTGGAAGTGGTCGGTAGCGATGATAGTAGGGTTGGGGATTTTTTTGGGTTGTAGGATAGGGTGGCGGTGAAGGTGGTGGTGGTGGTGGTGGTTCCGACGACGGGGTTTCGATTGCCATGCTGTTGGTGGGAGTGATGCGGTGGTGGTCACAAATTATTTGATCGATTGTGACCATTAAATTGGTTAATCCGTGACCAATAAATAATACGTGACAAATGAAAAAGATAAATTGTGACCAAGAAACCAATAAATAATGGGTAGAGACGATAAAAAAGGTCGTCGGCTCAGGATCAGTTACACCGAGCAGAGGCTCGGCCAAGCCCCATTTTGGGGCATCGGCTCGAGCCCTGCCCGGGTGAGCCTGCCATTAAAAATAAAAAAAAATTAAATTAATATTTTTTAAAGGAGCTGCCTACAACAGGCAGCTATTTTTAGTTGCCTGCAAAGGCTGCCTGCTGCAGACTTAAAAAAAATCAAAAAATTCGAGCCGGCTCGGGTCGGGTCGAGCCTCATTTTTTTGGTTGGGCTTTGTTCGGCTCGGGCCCAAAAAAGCTCGAGCCGAGCACAAGCTTTTTTTTTCGGCTCGACTCGTTGACATAGCTAATAATGGGTGACCAAATATATAGACTATGACTTATAAATTGTGATCAAGAAATAATGTGTGACCTAAAATATCGTTAACTTTTGATCGAAAATTTGTGACTGATAAGTTGTGACCTATAATAATTGCGATTTATGATCGATAAATCAATTGTGAGGTATAAATTTTTTATTTGTGATCGTTTAAAAAATTGTGACCTATAAATTTTTTAAATTGTGACCTTAAAATAATTTGTGACATATAAAATTAGTGATTTGTGACCAATGAATGATATGTGACTTATTAATTTGATAGATTTGTGATCGATGAATAAATTGTGACATAAAATTTTTTGATTTGTGACCGATGAATAAATTGTGACCCATAAATTTTTTGAATTGTGACCATAAAATAATTTGTGATATATAAAAATTATGATTTGTGACCAATTATATGGAGTTTGCAACCAAATTATATGAAATTGTAACATTAATATATTTAATTAATTAATTTAAAAATAAAATTTAAAAAACTCTGAAATTTGAAATTGGTAAAATTAAACAACTTATTTATGTAATCTTCCCATAAGTCTTTCCCAGTCAACTATTGGACAGAAGTAATGTAGGCCTTTGGATCCCCCATTGAATTCATTTTCATAACCCAACTTGCATGAGTCTCTTTTGGTTTTAAGTTGGTCCTAGGGGAATTGGGCTTCCTTTTCCTTTTCAGCATTGAAAATAGAAAAAAAAATAATAATAATAATTGAAAGGTTGGTCTTCCCAACTTTTCAGGTAATGTGATTTGAGTCCCAATCTTTGTGAAATTTTGGATTCTGAATCCTGAATTCATCCCTGCTTGAATCATTATTGGAAACTGACCAGTTCTCGATTTTCAGCTCGACTATGGAGCCATGCAGGTCAGTCCAGTAACAACCTAATCTGCGCCTTTTACAATCTATAGAATAATGCTATTATGCCATTCTATTGCAGAATACAAAACACCACCTTTTTATTGAATCTAACATCACAAACAGTTACAAGAAAAAATAGTTTGTCAAGTACAGAATACTTGTACATGGCTAACCTGATGTCCATTAATTCATCTCCCCAAGCATGTCGAGAATAAAGCCAAGCCATCGACCAGTCAAGAATCCTTGACACCATGCAGTCGACCATTGAGCCTTCTGAGCCAGATGGAATGAAG